CCATTAATTTCTGTCTTAATTAGTAAAAGAAATGAAACAGCGTAAGTTAAATCCAGTTATAAAATAGTATAGCTGTTTTTGGTACATGCCATCCAAAATCAGCAATACTGACTTTTTTTATTATCTTTTCGTTAGAGATATGATAACTTTGAGCCTGAATTTGTTTAATGTGATATTTCTAAAATAATAACTCTCAGAAATGCTGGAAAAGAATTTACTTTTAAAAACTGAAATTTAGAGTTCTTCTAATAGTAGAAGACATTTGGTTATGTGTTACGAAAAAGCTAGTTTATTCCTCCTCTCAGAAATCATTAACTAAATGCTAAACTGCAGAAACAGATAGGATGTCCATCCTCATCTATTCAGGGAAAGCGATATTTACCTATCCAGACTGAAATCACTACCCAGAGTCCATCCAAAGTTCAGTAAAAGTACTGGGCAGCTTCCCTGAAATAGCTTAGGGTAATGGAAAACAAAATCCCTGATATGGAGATGAGTAAACCCTGACAGATGCTTGATAGATACCTGTAGAATCAACAAGGGGATTTGTTTTCCCCTATGCCAAGACTGAGAATAGAAACACAGCAATAGCAAGAAAAAAATCCAGAAGGAAGGCATTAAAATGGTTGGGAACAAATAAGCCAAATTTAATGAGCTTTGCAGTATGTCTTAAATAACTGGTGTGCTAACTTCCATCCAAGAATATTGAAAGAATTAAACAATGAGCCCGATGAATCATTACTGCTGATTTTTTCCAAATCCCACAATGCTGGGGAATTCCAAAGGGCTGGGAAGATGCTGCTATTGTGCCAGTGTTCAGAAGTGGTCTTATGAGCATCCTGGGAATGGATAGGTGGTTTGCCTGACTTGGATCCAATGGAAAATCATGAAAAGGATTGTCATGAGAAAGAATTTACTTTGGTAACTGGAGGTCAGACATCATCATTATATAGAAAATGGATGTTGCCAGAAGCCTACCTTTTTTGATGTTGTCAGTTTGCTTGGTAAGAGAGCCGCACAGACGTACATCTATTTTGGCATATGTGATACATTTAATTTAGTCCTCCGCTGAAATGTGGTGGGCTATACGTGATAAACATGATCCTCTGCTACACAAGCAGAGGAGTGTCATATAAAAGGACAGTAATCACTGTCTACAAAATCAGTCAGAGTTCTTTCCAAACTGAAAAATAATCAAAGCAGTGCTAAAAGAACGACCCGGGGCTTGAAAAACTCATAAGGCACAAACACAGAAGCTCTGCTTACAAAATAGAAGAGTAACATGTGGTTCTCTCTATCTAAAGTGGACTTCTAATAAATGAAAAGACATTTAATTGACAAGATATTTTATAATTGAGAAAGTTGTGATTTAACAGGAAAAGAAACAGAATCCAAAATGAGATTTGGAATCTGAAAAAAGGAAAGAAAAAAAAAAAAAAAGAAAAAAAAAAAAGAAAAAGGTGGGAGGAATTACATCTCACTTTAACCGTGCAGATAGCTATCATTCTATCATTCAAATAGCTCAGGAACAGCATCCTTTGCTTACAGCTGTTTGTCAACTTCAGACATTCCTCTGAATGGTGAAGCTGGGGCCATGCAGATGAGTAATGCTCTAATGGTGGTTGTGGGTGGCTGGATAATTCAAATGGGCATTATAATAAAAATGGCAGCGATTTAGGATATTTTCTCTGAGAGACAGATTTTTGTTCACAACAACTGACAACAGAAGGAAAGAGGGAAAAAAAGATACATGGAAAAGTAAATATAACTTTCTGCAGTACAGTCTCATTAAAACTGTGCTGAATGCCCATGAGCCATGTATATGAATACCTCTGTGCATAGGTATTTCTTTCTGACTATTACAGGTTCCATAAAACCATTTTAAAAATTATGACTGTCCATTTTCCAAAAAAAAATGGCCAAGCATTAAGGCTTACCACAGAAAGACTTCTTGTTAATCTAGAAATAGTCAGTATTACACATCGAAACAAAAAAAGCTGGTTAGTATCCCAATTACATTACCACAGTGCTGCATTTAAAGCAGGGAGGAGCATGCTTACCATACCAGAGTGCTTAAAGAGCTCTAATTTTCTTAGCTAGCCTTTTAAATAAAGAATATTTCAGATCTAAGAAGCAGTATGAACATGTAGTGTGTCTGGTAGTTTGCTTTGCAACAGCTGTGAAATTTATTGCAACACAGCCACTCTTTAAGACAGGATGGTGCCCTGACAGTGCCAGCTTGAGACTTTAGAGATATGAGTTCAGTTATCTGTGTTTTACTGAACTCTCCATGATACTCAGTGAGACACTTTTAGTAAGCGGAAACCTAGCACAGAATGGCCAGGGTTAGAAGGGACCTCAAGGATCATGAATCTCCAACCCCCCTGCCACGTGCAGAGCCACCAACCTCCCCATTTAATACTAGTCCAGGCTGCCCAGGGCCCCATCCAACCTTGAACACCTCCAGGGACGGGGCATCCACAACCTCTGTGGGCAGCCTGTGCCAGCACCTCACCATTCTCTCTGTAAAGAACTTCCCCCTGACATCCAACCTAAATCTTTCCTCCCTTCCTTCCCACCTGTGCCTAGTCTTTTTTTCAGTAAAATTTTGTAGCCTCTTCTGGTTCATGTCTAAAACTAGAGTTCAGTCATATCAGTAAAATAACGGTACAAAAGGCTGAGGGGGTTAAACATTTTGTAGTCTTTCCAAAACTCTATATAGTAAACTGAAGTCAGCATTAGAGAGATCTCTAACTTTTGCTGGCCTATAATCCACAAACAGCATTTGCTTTCAGAGAACCAGTGCCTACTCTAGTACATGCCTGATTTATCCAGTATATACAAGTGTGTGCCAGGTTCTGCTCACTGATCTGTCTGCTGGTGTGCAGGTGCACATACCCAGGTCTCAGATGCCTGAACCTCAGACCCCGGTGCATCTCATGTGAGCAGTGAGCTCAGTGGCTCTATCTTAGTGAGCCCTGCAGAAGAGAACTTTTCTTCTCTCTGAACAAGGTCACACCAGTCAGCAATTGTGTGCACAGGGAAGATGCTTTCCCCAAATTTATAATACATAAAAAGTCATTGGTGTTGGCATCTAGAGTCATGTTTTCTTCCACTGGGACCAGTATTTTTCTGTGTGGAAGAGAAGCGCAAGTGTGCCCGGAACTCTGTAATTATCTTGGGGTAAATAAGCTTCAAATGGAGATGAAGTTTAAGAACAGTCAGTGCTGGGTCTTTGGGATTGCAGTTCCAAGCACCTGGCACTTTCTACGAAAAGGATTAGCAACTCTGGTGCCTACTTCAGTGCTATAGGTTCCCCTCTGGTGGCTCAAGGCATTTGATGGAATTCATCCTCTGGTCTTTCCTAAGGGGTCCAAATGCCAAATCAAATGTCATCTCTGTCACCACATCAGCTGGCCTGTGCTAACTGCAATTTTGATGTACAGTATCTTAACTGATGAGAAATGTCAAGTAATTCTACTTGGTTTCACTTGGTATGCAAATAGGGTGATCAAATCAGATCAACTCACAGTTGTGGGCATCCAAGAGCAGTAAGCAAGGCTCTACTGACACATAGTAACTTGACTCTCACCCCAACCAGTCAGTTTTCCAGTGCTGGAAGAGGTATCATGGCATGGCACATTCCTGTTGAACTGCAATGTCAAGAGGGTAAATGCAAGATGCTCTTCAGTTCCACTGCTGAGGAACATACCAATGGCACTTCACATCAAAAATATGAGGGCTGCTCCCAAAGGCAGTGCCTCCTATTTTATTATATTGGTCCACAACATCAGAGGTGCACATTGGTGGTATGGCAGTACTGGTTGAATCTTCCCATCAATATTCCATTACATTTTGTTGCTGTGCAACAGATGGCAGCAGAGCAGCAGTCTGACACAATGGCATCTGGTAGGGAAGTACATATGAAGCAAAGGGGTGTCAATGAATTCCTCCATGCAAAAAGAATGGTACCCACTGACATTCATCAGCACTTGCTAAACATTTATGGAGATGAAGCAGCTGTTGTGAGCAGAGTGAGATGGTGGGTGCTGCATTTCAGCAGTGGCAACAGTGATAGTGGGGCACCTCTGCTGGTGCAAATTGTTACAAGCACAGCATGCAGGCTCTTATTCATCACTGGTAAAAATGCACAGCTAATGCTCGTAACTATGTGGAAAAATAATGTTTCGTAGCTGAGAATTTGCTCTATCAAATAGTGCCATTGTGCTCTCTGTAGTACTTTCAGTGGAAATAAATAGGAAGCATTACTTTCAGTGTAACCTACGAAGACTTTCTTCCATAGGAACAAATCCTACATAATACTTTCTTCTATTTTTTAATTTCTTTTTATCAAAGTACCATACATTACAGAGATATTTGTTGTACTTTCCTCAGTCTGTAAAGTATTTTGAGGCATTCTGAGAAGAAGGGTACAACAGAATTAGGGAAAAAAACCTACAAATTATAGCAAATACACTGTCATGCCACCAGCAGAGAAATTTGGGGTATTGTTATTGTAAAATGAACTTTATTCTTTACTATGTGGATATATTCTGATATTATGTGGAAATGAGTTAATGCAGCTGAGTTAAATGTGCACAGACATCATATATACACAGTTCCAAAAGTGTATGCCTGTAAGTCTCCTGATGCTGATTATTGTTAGTGTATCTGTATTTTAGTTACTGAGGTTGTTCTAGTGCTTAAAAAGAGAACTACAAAGAATTAATTGTCCATTTTAAGCCATAATCTTGATTTATAATGAACTTGCATTTTGTCTCTGCAGTCCAGCTGTCAGTAAATCAACTATACAGTTAAGAGCTCCTCTTGATATTTTGCTTTTAAAAGTATATTAATGACAAAACAAGGCTCTTTTACTACTACCTCTGGCATCAGTCTTTCAAACATAGCTGTGTTACACTTTTTAGCAACCAAATTAATTCCACATGAAGGGAAAAAGTATTCACTCCTTTTTTCTTTCCCTTTTTCAAACTTTGCAGACGTCTTGCAGGAAATGGCTTGACATACATTCCTAAGGGAGCATTTGCTGGCCTTTTCAGTCTTAAAGTGCTGTAAGTAAACTGTGTGTTGTTTGATATATTTCTGATTTCCTAAATGCTCCAGGGAACTAATTAACCAGTGAAGTTTTGATCAAGTAAATTACATATTTTGATCAGCTCATTTTGAACAATTCAGTTGAAGTGAGATACATATGAACATCATTAAATCTTTGTTTTTTCATATAGAAAATATCCTAAACACAAAGATTGGAAAGCATTAATCGCATTCTAAAAACAACTTGCTCATCAAGTAGATGTCTCTGTACAATATCAAAGGTAAAAATTGGTTCAGTTCATAGTTTCTTTAGTTGTCTCAAAAGTTCTGTATTCAGGCCTAAAAAATTTGGACTTTTCATGATCACACAGAAGTCGGGGTATATTGCCTTTTCCTTTTCTTGAGAGATGGGAGAGAAATCATTACTGTAGAACATGCCGCAATTTACAATCTAGTTCTTATTTTGTATCTTGTTCTTTGTAATCTAATTAAGATAAGTTATTAAGAACATGACTAAAATGAAGTAATGAGACGACATATACAGTTACTAAAACTATTAGCAGCCCAAAAGTCACTGTCTATCTGTAAAAGGGGATCTTTTCCTTCAGTTCACAGGAATTCTTTTATGTGCAAGAACGCCAACCTCTTAGGCAGTGTCAAGCCAAGCCAGATGCTACTATAAAAGCATACTGAGCTTTAGTGCAAAGATATTAGGTGGGAAAGAAGTACAAAGAGCTACCCATTACATCTACTCTTAAGTTGGGCAGCTGTAGCTCTTGTTGGCCCTAAGAGCTTCAGGCCTGCCAAAAAGTATTTCATTTACAATGTCCCACTGAGTATACCTCGTTTTGAAGACATTTACTATTCCAGTGTTACCCAGGTAGAATCCTTTTATAAATGGAGAAGTTGGTCTAAACAAGGATGTTAGGCAGTTTGAGTGAAAATGTATTCTAAGGTAAGAAAAGTTTCTCCTGGAATTTAAAAGATTTTGCTGTCTCTGCAAGCTAAGTCATGCAACAGCCTCAGAAAGTAAATTGATCAGGTCATTGCTAACAAACTTCCTTCTGAGAAAACTGATTTAATTGGGAAATTTTTAGCAGTTGTTACTGAGACAAATTTCTACAAACTAAATCATAAACTGCTCGTGCAGTTAAAAATGGTGCTGGCCATAGTAGCTTGTTCTTAAATGAGAATTTCAAGAGTCAGTCTGTCAGAACTTTATCAGAATAAGAAACGGAAGTACTGAAGAAGGAAAAAGAAATCATACATACGGATGACAATTTCATAATCACTAGAGGCAATTCGGAGCTCAAGCTCTATCAACAGCAAGTAAGGTTTCATCTGTTAGCTTCCTCACCTACTTTGAAAGTCCTACTAAAGCTGGTGTGTTGACAGAGCTAATGTACTACATGTAATCGTTTGCTCTGAAGAGAGAGAATGAGCATTTTGAAAGGAGTGAGGGGAACACCACTCCTGAGCATTTGTGTAGATTGTTTCTGTGCTTGTATTTTTGAAGTAAAACCAGTAGAAAGGAGGTAAGCTTAGAAGAAAATTTGCAGTAGAAAAAACATACCTTTACCGTATTGATTCTGTTGTTTTTTTGTTTTGGTTTGGTTTGTTTTTTTTGTGCTACTCAAAATGTAGAATGCTGCAGAATAACCAGCTACGCCAGGTTCCTACTGAAGCACTCCAGAACTTGCGCAGCCTGCAGTCTCTGTAAGTATATTTGGTAAATCAACATGTGAGCTTGTATTAACAATACCATATAGGATTACCTATTAATTACCTGTCATATATCGCTCAGTAATGTCTTGAACCTATTTCTTCTTTTAAATCTCTTTGAAATGCTTTTCAAAAGAATTGTACTCTAAGTTAAAAATCAAAAGTGACTGATTTCATTCCAGTAATTTAGTGACATTGGCAGTTTCCTTGCAGTGTTATAAACTGCTTCACCACCTGAGAAGACTTGCTCTGCAATACGTTCTGTCTGTCAAGAAGAATATGGTCCCTGGAGCATCAGTCTTTCCCATGATTTCTTGTTAAGGCTCTTTACAAGGGAAAAGAAAGAATCCCAAATAACACCCTTGATTTTTTTATCATTTATTTTTTTCTTTTTAAGCAATATGGAAAATACTATTAGCTCATGAAACAAAGTGTACTGGAAGACCCTTAATTATACTCTATGCTACAGGCAGATCTCCGTATTTATAGTTCTTGACTGGGTCATGCTGACTCAGTCCACAAGCTCCAGTTTTTACAGAACTCCTGCCAGATTTCCTAGACTAGGAGTGAGGATTGGCTGTTCCATGGTATGAATGAAATTATTTTGATGTGCTTCTGCCTCACGATTTAACAGTGGTTGTACCACATCGTGCTAAAAGCTGATCTAGCCCTATTAGACCTTCAGTAGCAGATACTGAAGGAAAACTAAAAGGTCAGGTGAAAAATAAAATAATACTCCCTTGGTAAACTGTCCCAACTGCCAAAGCTTGGTGCTCAAGGACTTGCTGAACGGCTTCTTTGAACTTGATAGCTCTTAGAGGATTTTCTTCTGTGAGCTTGTACAATTGCTGTTTGAGCTAATGTAACACCCATTATTTTCCGTAGCAGCATATCTGCTGATCAGCTAACTCTGTGATGAGGTACCTTTTTTTATTTGCTTGGAATTTACTATCACATTTACGGTAGTAGATGCTAATAGGTGCAGATGCTAGAAGGTATAAAAAGCTGTTCCTTGTTGAGGTATCCTAGATTTTATGTACCTCTGTCCCATCTCCAATGGTTACAACTGTTGAATTCTTTCTCATGTGGAAACTATTCCCTTCATCTGGTCATCCTTGTTATTCTTTACTGAACTTTTTTCCAGCTTTTCTATATTTTGTTTGAGACTAGTCAAGGAGGAATCAGACCTGCATAGAATACAGCCTGGATTTGCAGAGGGAAATTATGGAGGTTTTTTTGTTGTGTGTTTTCCTGCTAACCCCCAAACTTCACTTTGTTTAATTGTTTTAACTGTTACTGAACACTGAGCATTACTTTTTACACTTAGTGCAACTTCAAGACATGATTTTCTTAGCATGTTAAGAGTTATTCAGGATTTTGTCTTGACGGGTGGGAATTTCCTTCACTTCATAGGCCTAACTTTACATCTTCCTGTACTGAAATCCATCTGCCATGTTGTTATTCAGTGAATTAATTATCATTAGTTCCTTCTGCTGCACCTGGAGTTCACATTTCGCAATTACAAGGCCACTGTTGCTGTCTCCACATAGGATGCAGAATAAATTCTGTTTCTGAATTATCCAAAGAATGTCATTGTCACTTGATACAAGAAAAAAAGATGGCTAAATTTTCTAATTTAAATTAATTTAAATTCTAATTTAAATTCTAAATTTAAAGTATGCGCTAACTTTGAATGAGCAGCATGAAATCTCTAGATGATTGAAAATAGGCATGTTCTTTGGGCATAAACAAACATTAGCTGAGATCTACTGATTGGGAAGCATACTGTGCTAAACATGTTCTCTTATTTTTTTGTGTGTAAAGAAGTTCTACCAGAAAGTTCACATCTTTTGCACACATTCCGTTCAGATGAATTCCAAATAATGAATCAATTTCTAGCAAACTTTTGTCGTCGGTGTATAACTTACCCATACACAGGCACACATTATACTACTTTAGCTCCCAAGTTCTTATGTCTGTCTCAAACAATACTTACCTCCTTAATATACAAAGCATTCGTTAAGGTTTGTAAAGGTGAAAGAGCCTTAAGAATTAATTATCTTATAAATTGTTATTTGGTCTGTACCTTTTTTTCTTTATTGACCAGACAGACTGAAATATCTTAGCCATATACTTTTGAGGTTGCAGTTCTTTCCTTTGATCTTTTTAAAAAGTCATGAGAAAATGCTGGTCTGCTGACTATATTAGATTTCTTTCTGCTAAACAAACAAAAAAAAAATCTTGCTGAGATCACATCATTCTATACACATTCTGGACCAAAACACGATAAGCCAAGCAAACAAGGGTTCCTTTGTTGCTCTGAAAGAGACTGTTGAATTTCCAATACAGTTTCCAAACAAAATGACAGTCTCGCTCATTCTTTTCTGCAGATATTCTTTTCCATAGGTGAAGAAGCTGAAGAAGTGAACCAAATGTAGTTGCAGTGTGTAGTCTGCATTAAGAGCTGATATTTCGTGACAAAATTGAGACAGACTAAGAATAGGGGTGATCAGCAGAAACTTTTAGTCAGCTGCGTAGCAGTCCTAAGATGGAATGATACAGGTTTGTTCAGAAAAGCTACTATCAGCTGAAAGATGATCACTGGCAAAAGAGACCTCTTTGAGGGAAAGAAAACTATTATTCTTTTGTTTGCTTTAACTGGGTTGTGCTTGTCAGATAAGGTGTGCATAGATTCAATTTCTTGTTTCCTACAGTCTAGGGATTTTCTGCTCACAAGGTGGTTCTTGCATTGCTTTCTGATTTACAATAGGAAGTATTTCTTGAAACCTTTGAAATAGCAGCAGTCTTTTCAGGGGTGTAATTAAGAGGTTAAAAGCCTGCACAAAGGCAAGTTCTATAAGATAACAACTTCTTGTGTTTATTATGTTTAACGAAACAGGTGGCATGGTTTTCGAAAGCCTCATTAACTCTTCTCTTTAGGTTAGCAAAGCTGCAAAAACCTGAAAACTGATGACAGGGCTTAGAACTGCCTTTTGTATTTTCACCCAAGAAGGGCAGTCACGTAGAGAGGCAATCCATACTAACCACCTTGATATCTTAATGAATGTGAAGAGGATTACGTTAAAATCATTTTTGTATAAAAATGTATGTGATTTTGTGTGTACGCACATGAGATGTATGCAAGGGCTGTTCTGAAAGTAATGCCTCCCATTTTATTTTGCTGGCCCACAGCTGTGTTTATCTCCATGTTCAGCATTTTATGTGGGCTATAATTTCCTTTTGAAATTTGTCATGAATACAGATTATCTGGTTTACTAACCCTAACAATTCAAATGATGTTTGCTTCTGTTAAGCCAAGAAGAGGAAAGTAAGTTCTCAAATTCCATGACTGAAAACAGCCAACACACAATGACTGGTGTCACAACTTAGATCTTGGCAGCGGGGTTTGAAGTGTCACTTGAATGCTGTCTCCCTTATTATTCACTTTTCTGTAGAACTGACTGTAAGCAGATGGTCTCTGGATTTTATGTTTCCCAAAGCTCCAATATCTCCACTCTGCTTTTAAATCAAGAAGGCTTTTAATGATCTTGAATATATCTGTTTGATCCAAAAGCCTTTTATGTAGATTTACTGGTTTATTTTTGAAATATACCTATTAATCATCAGCTTGCTTTCTGACCAACTGTTTTCACTGAATTTAAGTACTTGTTTAAATAGATGTTTTTATTTCTAGTGAGATCACTTATGTACCAGAATTGTCATTTCAGTATTTTTTGAACAAGAAGGATTGATAAAGCAGGCAGTGATGCACAAATTATTTTTTAAGATCTCTTCCTCGAGAATGTTAAAACAAATTTTATGCTATTAGCAACTGATGAGTTGGAGATCTTCATTTGTACATTTTAGTAAATAAAGGAGGGAAGTCTAATTGGAACTGCTGATGGAGAAGTGAAGCTTCTGCTGCTCTTTTACTGGGACTATTGTAATGCAGCACCTTGCAGTGAATGCCACAGATTCAGATTAGTTCCATTTATTTTCTTGTTTAGAAATCATTGTTTGTTAGTAAGAAGCTTTTCCCATTTCATTTTCAGAGAGAAATGATAATCAAGAATAGATTATGTCACTATCCATGCTAAACCAGTCAGCAAGGATATTTAAAAACAAGCATTGTTTACAGTAAGACATGCCACTTGCTTGAATTCCTGTAAAATTTAGAAGTTTTAGTAGTAGAAAACTTTAGTTAGTTTAGTTTTCTACTTTAGTAGTAGAAAATTGAGCAGAATACAAGACAGTACCTCTTCCAAAGTGCTGGAAACAATTGTAGAGGAAAAAATAAACCATTTGTTCTCCACTGAAAACCTGAAAAGTTGGAATTTAGTGTAGCACATGGATTTGTCTTCACAAATACAGGATAAAAAAAATAGTACAAGCAAGTTTAACTTTCTGACAGAATTTACATATCACTTCAGTTTTATTTTTAAAATATGTTGCTATGTGCAGAGCACTTTATGATGATGCATTTTTACATGAAAGCTGAGCTAGAAATAATCTTGGCTGTTCTTAATAGTTTGCTTGGCTGGAACAGGTCAGAAAATGGATTTTTCATCTCCTTCTCCCTGCTTCTCTAAACATTTGACTTTTTAAAAGAAATTCTTATTCTGAAAAAGGAGTTGAAGATTTTGATAATACAGAGTTCTGAGATGCCTCCAGTTCAGTCTTAAAACTAAAAAGCCTTTTTTCAAAAGTGTTAACATTATAAACAGGGTTTTTTTGTGTGTTAATAATCCTGATTTTTAGTTAAAAGACCAAGCAACTTCGATGAAATCACGTTCTCCCAGGAGAACTGTTTTCATGAAAAGACAGGAGCTTCAGTTGTGATTTTTCATGTCACACCCCATGATAATGAAGCCAACAGAAAGCTTTATCCTTCTTAGGAAACCCAGTACCTCAACAGTTACCCTCAAGCTCCCTATGGAGGAATTTCCCACCGTTTGGATCAAGGTTGTGTGTACTCATGCATACAACTGTACATATACACAAAAATGTCTCAAAACTCATGGCTACAGTCTCCTTTTACTTCGTGCTTTATCTACGTGAGCTTCTAGAACCCTAGGGCACACTAGATAACGAAAGAGGGACTAAATCACAGAGTGCCAGTGCAGTGTCAGAGCGCCCTTCTCAGTCACACATTTTTCCAGCCTTATAAACAGCTAGGAGGACAGACATGCAAGAATCCCCAGTCTGTGCTACCACTAAATATTTGAGTCCAGTCCCCACACAACCAGCTGTAGGGTCAGACTGCTTTCAAAGTGGGGTACAATTATCTAAACTGGGTCAGCAGTTCCAGGCTGCTGAGTGATGTTTTCTTGCATCCAGCAGAAGCTACTCAGTGTCTGACTCCTTTCTGTCTGCTGAGCAATCTCGTAAAACGTTGCTTTTTTTTTTTTTTTTAAATCATACCTGTAAAGAGATACATTTCTCAACCTCAGAACTGCTAATGAAAATCTTTCTGTATGGCTGAATCCCACCAGGACATGCACTGCCTGTGGGAGGAGGACGGAGGACGAGAGGGCCAAGTGCTAAAGTGATCAGCCATGTCAGGTTCAAATCAGATACACAAGAATGTCCACGTGAGCATCATGTGGTGACACAGTATTACCACAGTCAGCCTAGCAGGGCAAACAGGGCATAGGAGTGCTCCAAAGCACTGGTCATGACCACCTGCCCTGCTGCCTTGTGAGAAGGGTCCTTGGCTTCTGACTGCTGCCAGATGGGGTTTGTCTGAGTGGTTACCTGGGGCCACTTGGCAGCTCGTACAGACCTGGGCCATCCTGTCAGCATCCTGCATGCAGCCACCTGCTTTGGGAGGCCAGTGGAGGTTACTGGCAGCATTCCCGGACACACAAGATATCTGGTCTTGGACCTCTGTTCTGCAGCCAGGTTCCTAGCATGACCCAACAATTCCTGCTGGCCCCACTTTTTCCCACTTTTGGGGCTTTGAGGCTAGTTTAAGTATGAAAAAAAAAAAAAAAGAAAAAAGCTTTGGAACTGGATATTTGTTATGTGTTATGTGTGATATGTGTTATACAACATGCTAGTGTCCTGGCACACCATCCAGGATACACCTGAACAACGTATTTGGATATAAAGAGAAATGCTAAGGATCAAAACTCTCAGAAGTGTTGAGACTTTCTCATGTTTTATGTGCAGATGGTGTTTGATTAAGTAGCAGGGTAGAAACAAATGTTCCTAAACTATGACTTGTGATTTTTTTTGTTCTCTTTCAATCTTGCTGTTGCTGCATAGGGTTTCTTGTGTCAGTATTGTACAAGCTCATACAAGGGCTGAAATCTGTGGGAACTGCTGTGCTGGCATATTGTAATTAAGCTTTCACAATAATAGCATTTTCCCCTGAGGATTGAAAGGGGTATCCTGCTTAAAGGGACATGTTGGGGAAACCACGCTTACAGTAGCCAACTTTATTTTCATTACATTCACTTTTGAAAGCCAGTATTGATGTCACTCTTGCCATTCCTTACATGTGGCTTTAACCTAACTCCTATGAGCAAACCCTTGAGAGGGTCCATGTCACCACAATCTGACATTCTCCTTCCTGTGATACCCACCCCAGATGTGCCCTCTCCCCAGTCCTTGTTCATAATTGCTCCATGCTTTCAGCAATGCCTGTGTGCTATAGAACCTGGGGAGGAAGAAAGTGGTAGGAGAGGGAGGAGCATGCCCTTCTGCTCTATGTGTGCCTGTCATCAATCCTCATACGCTCTCAGTTCCTTGCCTATCCTGCCTACTGCATGAAGGACCTTCACATTTGGTTTTGTCGGCATTGTATTCTTGACTTCTTTATCTGTAGTTGTAACTTTCCTCTTGTCCAGTCCCTTCATTATGTTCAGTCCCTTATCCCTTGCAAAAAGAAGCAATCCATGTGATAGATGTTTATCTCAGAGGGAAAAATGACCTGGGAGAAGTTTCCTTCCTGTTCCTATACCTAGCATTTGACTTAACCTTGAATGAAGAAGGAAGATTCACCAACAAGACTTCAAGGATCTTCCTGAGCACTAGGTATTTCACTAGGCTGTACCTGCGCTTGCTCTTGGGATAAGACTCAGAGAAAGGAAAAATATGTGTATTCACGTGGAGACGTACCAGTGGCATAAAGCTAGGTGTCCATATTGAATTGATCCAAAAATATGAATCAAAACTTTTAAAAAAAACCTACCTTTCACCCTTTTCAGGGTAACAGTGAATTAGTCATGCTTTCAGTCCTATATGAATAATATCTTTTCATCATACATAACGCATATGGTCCTAGCATTCACAGCATGCCACAGGAAACACCAGTGGGATACAGTCCACATAGCTCAAGCATTTTCTTTGAAAGGTTTGGACATTTTAAGTGAGCTCATGGTGAATTTCATACTGTCTGCTTTATTTACATGTCGCCTATCAGAAAAGATCAAGCTTTTCTGTTTTCCTAAATTGGCTCTCTCTGGAATATAATAGCAGCTTTCAAACTCGCCATGTTATCTATATATTTTCAATTATAAACAGGGTCATGTTTGTGAGTTAATGGGTTTAGTTTTGAAAGTGCCAAAACTTTGATCAACGTATGTGAAACAATTGTCTGAAAGCAATGATTTTGATCAATGCTTTATACATCAGTGTGCATTACCTACAGTTTGACAGGAAACATAATCACTACTGAAATGTTTTATTATCTGCAAGAGGGAAAAATGGTACTTGGAAATTCTAAAAAGATTAGATAACAAAAGAGCACTTGAGGCAGTGCTTATGAGCACTGGTAGAGTGTATAGTCCAGCAATAGGACATGCAATACAAATCATTGTAGTTTCAAATTTTCTTACAAAGTATATTTAAGGAATAAGCTACTTAGAATCTCATTTATTTTACAGCAGTCCTATGTTGTCTATTTTGCTTACATAGTATGGTGGATTTATACTTGGAAACTTCAGTAATATAATTGGTTCCTTGATCTGCTCCTGAATGTTGGTAAGGTAGAAACCCTGACCTCTCTGAGGACAGAAGAAGTACTGCCTCTGCAGCCACAGGGTCACACAGACAGCTGACTTCTGGCTTTGCCACATGAGCAGCAGTTCTGTGAGTAACTCCTCTGGAGTCTGTCCTCCTCTGGGAGGTTGGAGCTGCACAGTCAGCCTTGGCACTGAGCAAGAAGCTGACTGTCACACAGTGGCACATTTAGGCTGAATAAAGCCTCCGTTCTTTAATCAGTGTAACTGTCAAACTAATGCAACTGTAAGTTCTTAGTTTACATACCAGCATCACACAGGGAAGAAATTTACATCTAACCAAACACAAAGAAACCTCATCATTCAAATTATACCTTATTTGAAAACACAGGCATGGCACAGTTGTTGCCTGGGGAATGGGGGAGGTACAGCATGACTGTTCCTAAACACTTCCAGCCTCACCCATTTGTTGACCGACCCTGGAATTATTTTGAAAGTTCTGTCTCTGCTGCCTGCCATGTCAGTTATTATATCGAAAATTTAATTGTACAGGGGCTTTGACACTGAACTTTATAAATTTGTTCCAACTGACCTTGTCTCAGTTATTTGCCAGCCTGGCACGAAGGCTTCGCATTCATTATTTGTTCTCATGCAGAAGGTAGAAGGAGCACAGGGCAGGAGATAGAATGGACCTGATGTTTTACATGACTGTGAATGAGGAAGCAGCTTTAAATAAAGAGATTATCATGCCCATCACAGAGAGTATTGCATTTCTCTCAAACAGAACAAATTTAAGTTGTACAGAATTACTTATTTGTACCTTGCTGTGTGTGTGTTTTTGTTCTTGTTTTTTTTTTTTTTAATAGTGTTTTCAAAACTTCTATTTAAATTTGTTTTTATTTCATCATCTCTATACTCTTCTGAACAGACATCTTCAAGAAAAGTTTTAGAGATTCGCTTCTATGACATAGTATTTCTAGATTAGATTTGCCTAATCTGCAAAAAGTTAAATAGATTTAATCCCTTCTTGCAGAAGTGTGAAAGCAAGATATCACCTGCAGCTCAGGGAAGGTGCAACATGTAGCTGAGCTCCCTCTGTTGGCTCTGCAGAGGCTGAAGTACATCAAATAACTTCAAAGGGAATCAACTGCATTAGCAACACCAATCTCTGTTTAAAACCGTTTTGCTCTTCTATTAAGAAATGTTACGTTCGTTGCTCATTAGAATAATTGAACTACTCAGCTTTTAAGAAGGAGTAAAACATGAGCAGAAACCCAGAAATAATGTTTATTGTTAGCTTTTAAAAGTGACGGATAGCATCTGAAAATCCAAAACAGCTTTCAGCACTTCAACTCAGTGATTTATAGATTCCGAAAGAGAGTGTCATGTTGAGTTTCTTATATTTTTTTATTCCATACTTTCAAATAATTGGTAAACAACTTTGTGACTGGTCCGTAGAGAGGCTCTGTTCAAAAGTGATTAGTCTATACTCTCAGTGAACCAATGACCCCAATGGAGAGCTGTGAGCAGTGGGCCAGCTGCTTAGGAGACTTGTGAACACCATGTGAAGTCCCGGAGATAATGTTGGAAACAAGATAGAAATCCAGAATCTCTGGGAAACGAAGAACTGATGTGACAAATGCTGCCTATCCTCATTGTGTTCTTGATGATAGTTTCATGTGAAAGTCCACTGTTCTTTTCTCTGAATCAATTTTCTTTATTTCTTTTTCTCCTAGACGCCTGGATGCCAACCACATCAACTATGTGCCCCCCAACTGCTTCAATGGCTTGGTCTCCCTTAGGCATCTGTGGCTAGATGATAATTCCTTGACAGAAATACCCATCCAAGCTTTTAGAAGCTTACCAGCACTTCAGGCAATGACACTGGCACTGAATAAAATTCATTACATACCAGACTATGCTTTTGGAAACCTCTCCAGTTTGGTAGTTTTGTAAGTTTTATCAATTGCTTTTTAGCCAGAATCTCTGCTTCTTTGAAGGGCTTTGACCTCCTTGTGATTAATTACTTGAAATACAGTGTTTAATTTACATGTTACTTGAGACAACCTAAACAGCTGCATACCTGGGTTAGCTAAGCCTCTATTTTTTTTTTCTTTCATTAATTTTTAATTAATTAAATTAATTAATTAAATATTAATATTAATTAATATTAAACTTACGTTGTCTTGGACTATAAAGCTGTAGTTCCCTTCTACTTTTGCACTAGGCTAATGATGACACTCTTTATGTGTGCAGTCCTTTCTGCTATGGCAAATGTTATTTTTTAAATATAAAGTAACTTTTTGTTTGTATAAGTATTATAAATGTTTTTTTAATTATCTTAGAGAAACAGAACTTCCACATCATCTTAAAGTCACATTTGCTGAAGTGCTTGATTAATCTAACTTAAAAGTTTTGTCTCCAGTAAAAAAATGTAAGGGAATTTTTAAAAAATCACCATATCTGGTCAGCAAAATTAACAGGAATAGATGAATTGTATTGTGTGCTTTCTAAGGCAGTACTGAATGGAGAAAGATTAGAAAAAGGAAATGAACTGAAAGCTTTCCGGGTGACTTGGGAAGAATGATGCCCAGTAGAAATTATGTAGAGTTCTACTTCACAGGTAGTATATGTAGCCTTATATTGTGATATATTTGTGTACCAATACAGCTCGATGAATCAGATGCAAAACCATCTCCAAAATCTGGAAGGAATACTCTGGTACTCAGTTTTTTATCTTCTGGGAATGCACAAAGTGGAAAAAATGCTAGACAGGCTGGAGAAACTAAGGAGGAAACTGAGGAGTAGAAGTTATTTCAGGATACTTTGGAAAACGTCAGTATTATTAAGGAGAAAATAATATAGTCAGGAATTACAACCTGTCTGAAACTATAGTCTGTAAGATACTTAGCGTATTTTAGCATATTCTAACCCCACTGCAACCATTGAACCTGGCACATTTCAGGGTTCTTTATTGAGTATTGTATTCATCAACTCTGCCTAGTGCTTAATACATTCATTTAAACGTACAGAGCACCAATTACAGGTGTGCAATAGCTGCCTTGTAGTGCACAATCCTTGCCCTATGTTTACATTGAGTATCAGTCCCATTCCATTGAAAGTGGATAGAGGAGTGGATAGACTTGTTATTTAACCAAACTCCTGGACATCTCAGTAATGCTGAGAAGGTAGAGAATGTCCTGAATGTCATTCTCTAGATCCCTGCCAGAAATGCGGAGATAGGAGGACATATAAGGAAGGCCAGGAGAAAATGACCTCTTTATTCCCTGATTGCTTCTGCTCACTTAGGTTCCATATTTTAGATCTGACCTGCTTACTTCTGGTCTCCTGGGTTTCATATTGATTGACAATTACATTTTTCCTCATTATCTGCAACATCTGATGCTAAGCTGGGGCTCTTTAGCCTGGAGAAGAGAAGGCTGTGAGGTGACCTGATAGCGGCCTTTCAGTATTTAAAGGGGAGCTACGGGAAAGAAGGGGACAGACTTTTTAGCAGGGCCTGCAGTGAGAGAAAAAGGGGAAATGGTTTCAAGCTCAAATAGGGTAGATTTACATTAGACATAAGGAAAAAGTCTTTTATAGTGAGAGTGGTGAGGCACTGGAACAGGTTACCCAGAGATATGGTTGATGCCTCATCACTGGAGACTTTCAAGGAGAGGCTAGATCAGGCTCTATGATCTACTTGTTCCTATTTATTGAAGGGGGGTTGGACTAGATGGCTTTTAAAGGTCCCTTCCTATTCTAAGGTTTCTGTGATTCTATGATTCTCTGATTTTTGCCTCATCAAAATATTCGTGTGCAGTTATGTTTTCTTTTGTTTGCTTCTCTATTCATTCTGGCAAATTTCCAGCTGTGTGTGAATATGCATGCTTGTCTGGCACAGGTTTGAAGCTCCACCACTAGCAATCCAAACTGAAGTGGAATTTGTAGACATTCTTCATGCTAACTCAAACATTACAGCTCAGTGTAGTCATTTAAAAAAAATGATTAATTTTTTTCGTAGGAAGGGGGAAACCTACAAAACATTTCTATTTTGCTATCAGGAACCTTGCTTTTTATGGACAGAGATACTGAATGTCTCTAGGTTCTGTGATCTTTAAAATTATTTTCAGAGCAGAACAAAGCATTAACGGGTGTATAACCAGCAGCTCCTCAATCACAATCCATCTTTTCTTTTGAAGTGTTACTCCCATAGTTTTCCTCCACTATGAGAGTGAAATGTGAAGAATAAAGTAGAAGTTTGCTGCAAAAAATGCATCCTCTTCAAAAGTCAGCTTGAATAGCACTAAATTGTACATACTCCCATTAATGAGCTTAACACAGATTGATTTTTTCCGTGTCAGTATAAAAATCTTAGAAGTAGGCAGCATTCTGATCCTTCACATGGGAGGGCTGGACTGGAATGAAACATGCAGTTACTCTCGGGGCTGAACATTTGAGAAGTGTTGACCTACAGGTGTTTACAGTTTCAAGGAAGAGCAAATTAAAGCTCTAAAAATTGATTAGTTCATTCATCTCAGTGAAGCTATGACTCCTTGTCCTATGGCTTTGTGTCTTCTTTCTGCAAGGCTAATGGCTGTTTCTGCCTTATTATCTTTCTGTTCACCTGCTGTTCTGTGCCATCCCCGCTAACAGCCTCTGAGTATAGGTTTTCCAAGTGAACACCACCCACAGTTCTAAAGGCAACATGTTAATTAATAATATGTGAGAACATGTATACAATTTCACAATATTTAATGTGCAAAACCCACTCTAAAATTCCAGGTTGTGCCCTTTCTAAGCCATGTAGATGGTTGTAAAACAAATCCCTTCTATGGAACCAAATTGAATGCTGCATGGGTGGAGTGATGTCAGGAGAAAGCAGAGAGGGCAGTGAAAGTGCCTCCTCTACACACTCTTGCAAAAGCATGACTTGCATTTAATTGGTGCATGCCTGAAAATAAGTTTATTTTGATTTAAGCATCAAAATGTTTTGCTTGAGTCCACTGTGGGCAATGTGCTTTCCTGACTGTGTGCTTAATGTTCCCCTGCAGACATCTCCATAACAATAGAATCTATTCCCTGGGAAAGAAATGCTTTGATGGGCTCCACAGCCTAGAGACTCTGTGAGTTGACCTCTTATTTGTTTCCTTTTTTTTTTTTTTCTTTTTTTTCCCCCCCAGGGGAAAATATTCATTAATATTCTGAAAGAATAAAAATAGCCTAAGAGCTAAATGTGTTTTTTAACTTGTCTAATCACTACAGGATCTAAGTGATCGTTTACAATACCTCTATATGGCAGAGAGTATTTTTGACAATAAAAATCAGCTTGCCTTTTTAATAAGCATCGTCAGTTGATAAATTGTTTAAAGGACATTTGAGAACTGTATTGGGCATTGAAAAAGAAGTGGCTATCCATGAGTGGTTGTGTTTGTCTAGTTTAGTACTATTTATTTGTCTTGTTCAATCAATAAACTTAAAGGCCGGATTGGGAAACTGTCAGAGTGAAAAGATATACCACCAAGAAACTCGCCATAGAAGAGAGTTATGAAATCATATAATTTTATTTTTTTTATCCCTAGAAGAAGAGAAAATGCCAAATACATGAATCACGTATGTTTTACAAGGAAAGATATCTCAGTTGTGTCCAAGATCATGTCTTTAAAGAGCTTTGCTGAAGAATAACACTGATAAGGGTTCAAATTGCCTCAAGCTTTTGTCAAAGTTCTGTTCATATCTATCTGCTAGAGTAGGTAATAGAACTCCAAAATGCTGCAGGAACAGTAAAAGCTTGCGTATCTTCTTCTCTACCACCTGCCACAATCAGCTAAATCCTTCTCAGAGATTTTAGAGATTTCACCTAACCAGGGCAGAGGATAAAGATCTGAGGAGCAAATAGACAAAATATCAAATCTGAATAATGCTAGTCTAAAGGTAACTATTTTCTTTCTTGTCCACAGAAGTATGCACTGCTCACTTTCATGTTTCAGTAACACCAGAAAGCAAGAAATTTTGACCTTTTTTCTTCCTCTGTTCATTCCCGAGTTTCAGCTGCACTGATCCCTTCAAACTGAAATGCAGTTTTACAATTTTGACTTTTAGTCTGCTGTGAGTTGAAAGGAAGTCCCTTAATGTAGCACCGGAAAGGGGGACAGGAAAGAGAGAGGGAAAATGTAATAGTTTGTTGTGTTTTTTTTAAGTGAGATTCACATGGCACTTGGTCAAAAATGGGGGGAAAAAAAGAACAATGGAATAAGTAATTGCAAACCCAGTCCCAGCCACCTGGTATGAAAGAGATGAAAACTCAGAGGCAGTCATGAATCTGGGAATGGATATAGGTGGAGTCTCTTCACTGCAGTATGAGAGTGTAGCACTTGCCTCAAGCTTACTACTTGCGTACTGTATAGACCAGTTTCAAGGTAGTTTCAAGACAATCTAAAGAGATCTCAGCATAAACTACGGAGGTCAGTTTTAAAATCATTTGCTTGCATTGATGCATAAGTCTGGAAATCACTTATCACTGCAAGGCAAAGCAGAACTGTGCTTGCCTGTAATCTCTTTCTGTCAATAAGTGGGAGAGAGAGATTTACAAGCAGGAAGGAAAGCCTCCTTGAGTTCAGACAGCAGTTTCCTGCCTGAATTACTTCAGCCTGATACTGTTTCAATTTCCATCTATTGTAAACTGTGATTTCTGTTTTGCCCATTCCATAAGGCTGTTTCTCAAATTTTTCAGACTATATTCTTCAGAAAGCACTTCTCAGGGAGCAGGCGCATCTCAATTTTAGTTTCAGGTGTCTCCTGAATACTAAAGGATGCACACGTCTTGCTCAAGGCAGAAGTATGTGTATAGTTCATTCACTTTACCATAATGAAGTCTAATTGCCACTGCAGCATGAGCAGTTCTTAAAGCAAAGGTCACTACCCTAGCTAAACTACTGCTTTTACAATTTGTATGGTTAGAAACAGTCTCCATGTGAGTACTGCCAAAGCTTAAATTGAACAATACAGTTAATGATAAAGTTGGGTTTATTGTATGTTTTCCCTCTTGATACAAAAAATAAGAATGAGAATGTGACCTAAACAGATTTTTTACAGAACATCCGTGCACTTTAAAGATTTCCTGGATTTTGGCTATCCGTTTCTCATTCAATGCATGAAAAATGGTATTTCATTACAAATGCCAACAATTCAGTTATTCCTGACGTAACACAAAACCTAAATAACACAATCTGTTTTCACACAGAGATTTAAATTACAACAGTCTGGACGAGTTCCCCACTGCTATCAGGACACTAACAAACCTAAAAGAACTGTAAGTACAGCATTTATATTAGGATGGAGAATGTTTTGTCTAGTGTATGACTGATTATTTTCTTAATGCTGGTGATTTTGTCAGTAATCCCTAAAATCTGGTATCCTAGGAAAAGCTAATAAATGTGCCAACATGCATAAAAGATAATTTTCAACATGCAGTTTAGAGCATTCAAGTTCTGACAACTTCATTGTGCAGTAAATTTTCTTCAAGAACTTCATCCTCGGAACACAGCTAATTTATTTTGAGTCCCAAACACAACAATTGTTCTTTCCAAGCAATCCAAAATATCACAATCTGTTAGACTAAGGAAAAAACATGGTCCTCTTACTGTCTTATCAAGTTTAAATGTTTTCTTCCATCCCTCCTCCCCCATTAAATTAAAGCATTCTCTTTTCAACTTAAATAGTCCTTTGTAATGTTGTAAACAAAACACTTGTGGATGCACAGACATAGTTTCTCTTAAATGACATCAACAATGAAATGAAGCCAGCCAAGTTTATTGTAAGAAACAGCTGAGTTATAAAAGAATGAATGAAATATTCACACATTTTAAAATGATGTGTACAGCAGTACGTATGTCCAGAGTTCTTTCAGTTTGAAGTAATTGCCACTCTGCATGTACCATCAGCATAGATTTTACAAAAACTAGCTTATCGTATAGCAGCTGGACACAGTTGACACAGTTGACATAGTTGTAGTATTACTGCATCACTCATAATAAGGCCACTTTCTGAGGCTGGGATTTTTTTGGAAGCAGGGAACCCCCAAGCAGTGTTGACTCCAGCTCAGTGCCTTCTGTGCTGCCCACGAGTGTGGCTCTGCGAGGCTGTGAGTTTTTCAGTCCAGCTACTCTCAGCTACTGTTCTGTTTCCTGAGGCCTAAAATAATTGGTATGAAATCCAGTGGCCTTGAAGAACTGCCTTTCTTCTGACCACTGGAGTCAGTAGCCAAATATGGATAACCTAGGTTTGCAGTAAATGCACCTTGTCCAGTCCAGCAAATTGCCTGATGTGCTTGAGATTTCTCGACCCCATTGGATCTCACATCTAGGTATCAAACTGCTTGTGTCAGCTGAGCTCCTCTGCACAGGAAATCTTTGGAGTGTTAAACTGTAACCTGAATTCCCAAATCCAGCACAGAACCTGACCGTACATCAGTGTTTTGCTTGGCCCTGGAAGCTGATCTTAAAAACATGAGGTGTCTCTCATTGAGTTCCTTCTGTTCTCAGCAAGAGGAACCCAGGGCCACAAAGATTCAGTTTATTGCAGGGCTACATTACTAAGGTGTTTCTGGGTCAGGCCTCTTCTCTTTCTCAGAATTTGTGCTTGGACTAAAAACACTAACCATGGCTTTTTTTTTTTTCTCATTTTGGAAAGAGCAAGCCGTCAAGGCAGAGCTATACAAGTCCCAGATGCTCTGCCCTTGGTGTTATCAACTGTAGGATCAGTTCTCTCTCCAGAATGGGTATAGATGTTAGGTTTTGAAGATGCCTGTGAAACATTTTTCCCAGTGTGGCCTTACTATAGTGTCCTTACCCAGGAGTACAGATAGATTTAAGCTGTTTTGCTCAGTATGTGAATTGACAAGCAGTAACTCACCTTTGGTTCAGATGAGGTACATTGCTGAGGTGCAGTGCACAGGATATGAGCTATAGCCATGATCACTCACTCCCAGTCAGACCTCAGAAGTACCATAGACTCTGTTTTACAGAAATGCACTGCAATTTCCTTTTGGCTGATGATGGGGCTGCTCCCACACTCTGACCATGTCAATGGTGATGAGGGGCCAGACGCTGTCCTGGGAAGCAGTCATGCCATTTCTTTTGCCTTTCTCTGTACAAGGAATCCCATTCAGTGCATCCACAAAACCAGTCTGTTCACTGGTTCTAGATGAAATGGGATCCTCATATTGCTTGGAATCTGTGTCTGCATGGATGCAGTTTTTATGGCGTGCAGAAGAACAAGGGATTTAGAGCCTTGTTCTGTCTCATCAGCAGTAGCACGGTGACTAAACAAGTGAAACCAGTAATGTGGAACCTGTTGAAGTAATGACCAAGTGTGCCTGCATGAGTGAACAATTTGAGGCTTTCTAAATATATAAATTTAATCTGGGAAGCCCTTTTCATACCCGACTGAACTAATGGGAGTTTCCCACACAAATCATCATTGTTCTTTAGAAACCTTAGTTGTTTCTTTTGTTTTTTACAATGGAGAAGTACTCATATGAGTAAAATCCAGTAATTAATGATGAGACCAAGTTTTGGCCCCCTATCCAGCAGACACATTGGATAGCTTGTTCATTTCTATATCTAAAATATTTCAACAATGGGGTTGTGGGAGACTCAACAATATAATGTATAAAATCATTTACTTTATAAATTTGTGTAATTCATTATCACAGTAAATGGAATAGATGCAAATTAACAAATAGGAGAGGATACATATATACATGTATATACATGTACTATTCAATGTCTATATGTACATTACATATACATAACCTACATGACATACAGCTATGAAATGGTTTCCTGCTGTGAGCATCTGAATTTTAAAATGCTATTTTGCTGTTTATTTCACCTGCATGGCATTTCTTGTATAGAAGAGTGCTGAATTCCAGGCATTTCTTCACTTGTTCTTTTGCTCTTGCTTTTACCAGTTGTCTTACCCCAGAAAGCAAAAACATATCTTTACACGCAGACATTTTCCTTACTACAGTCAAAGAAATTGTTGTGTATTGTGAATACAAATTGTGCCTTCTCATTCCTTTTCTTTACTGTGTAAACCATTTTTTTGTTTCGTAGAGGATTTCATAGCAACAACATCAAGTCGATACCCGAGCGAGCGTTTGTAGGTAATCCATCACTTATTACAATGTAAGTGGTAACAGTTTATTCAATGACACTTTGTGTAAGAGAATATGGTATTAAGTACCATGTTTGTTGCTATTTGTCTGATATATCTTCTTGTGAATGCACTGTGTAGCACATAATAATGCAAGTGAAAAGCTTTTATCTTTCTAGCCTTATGAAAAGTGTGGCAATCTGCATGCCTTATTTAAAGGGAGTGAGTACCAATACTTCATCACTGACCTTTCAGTTGAACCACTCTTTATAAGTCTCTTAGTATTGCTGGCAATGTAGAAGATATAGAAAAATTACTCGTGATGGATTCCAGTCTCAATTCTCATTATTTACATGAGAATACATATAATTGGCAAACCTCAGTGTACGAAATTGTAAAATAAATGTAAGAAAAATAGCCACAAGTTTTGAGCAGCATTTTTTTAATGAGCAAAAGCAATACTCATTTACAAGTGCAGTGGTACTCCAACGCTGTGGATGGACAACATTCTCCAAATATGAGAAATTCTGTTTTCTTCATCCATCAACTTTGTCGTATGTCATAATAAAGTTCTTCTTCTTTGAATTTTAATCTTTCTGGGAGAAAGAGGAAATGGCAGGCTTCTGGTTCTAAATCCAGGGAAAATGGATACTTCAGTATTAAAAGCATACTTAATGGACATAGCTAGCAGGTGAGAAAAGGTCCACAGGTGCGCAAAATGTCTGTGAGCATACAGAGATTACTCATTTGTATATATTGTAATCATGCAATGTGTTTTGAATCTTTTAAAATATTCCATGTAATATTTTGTGTATGTGTTATTTGTATAACATTGTGTATAACACTGTGTACAACATTGTGTATAAAATGCCTTTTTTGCTCTCTTTTTGCAGACATTTTTATGATAACCCCATCCAGCTTGTTGGAAAATCTGCTTTTCAAAACTTACCAGAACTCAGAACTCTGTATGTGTTTCATTTCTTTAAATTGTCTTCAGTTGCAACATTAGAGGTGTCCCTCAAATTCCTCATTGCAATTGTATTGAAACGGTGTTTTAAATTCTAGGACTTTAAATGGTGCCTCACAGATAACAGAGTTTCCTGATCTGACTGGGACTACAAGTCTGGAGAGTTTGTAAGTAGTAGAGGAGTATTTTTCTTTGGTTTGTATTTTTGATATTTATTCTAAAGAATGTCCCAAAAATAAGCATTTGTGTTGCAATCTTTTATTTATTTATTTATTTATTTATTTATTTACAAATTCTCTCAATAGGACACTCACAGGAGCACAGATCACCTCTCTCCCCAGATCAGCTTGTGACCAGCTACCTAACCTCCAAGTGCTGTACGTTTCTGCATGATTAATAACTTTACATTAATAAAAAAGATCAATGAGCAAATGAAATCATTATGGTTTCAAAATTACCCCATCGCTGCTATTTTTGTGTATCACATTATTGCATAGAAATCAGAGCAGGGAGCAAGTCCCAAATGTTACTGAAAAATACCATCCTCCAACAGTTCGTATTCCACAGACCTGTCAGTAATTCCCACGCACTGCTGAAAAAAATCATTAATTTTCATCTTTTTAGGAAATGCTAAAATGGTTCATGATTTTGTTTAAAAAAATCAGAGCTACTTTCATTGACTTTATTTTCATTTATTCTGTCTCTCCTGTAGCACTTTTGCTTTCTTATGAGGCAGATAACTCAGGGAAGTGAATGGAAAATTTATCTGTGTAAGGAGTATAGCTCTGAGTGCTTTTCATGCATCTCTTTTAGATTTTTCTCCAGACAGACTTAAGTAGTTGGCTGAAATTTTGATAGACTATTACTTGGCATTGTTGGGGCATAGTTCTTATACTAAATATCCAATATTATTTTAGCTTGGAAATGTCCTTGGGGTTTGCTTAATCACTAACGAAAGTAATCACTCTGTCTGCTTCTTTGAGAATCAGCCAACGCTTTCCTCTATGTATTACATCACTTGGAATGTATTTTGTATTGCTTCTCTGGCCAACATTGGAATAGGACTAATTATAGCACATGATTTGAATACCACTGTGGATGTCATTAACATTTCCAGAAAAATTAAGTTTTAGTTGATGGACTCAGTAGAATCCTACACTGTCATTACTTGCACTATTTTCACAAATCAAACGTAGAATCTACAAAATGCCCCCTGTCAGAATAGTAGTGACAAAGATAATTTTTTCCAAGGAAGCAAGTGGGTAGATATGATTTAGTTTTAAAGGATTGGAAGCAGGGATGAAAGTAGGTTACTCTTTTACTTGATATTAATAATTATGGGAAAATGACATTTTTTGTAATTATGTATTTAATTTTTATTCTATATTCTTTCCACCAGCAAAATTCAGATTTAGTTTTCCCCAAACAAGATGTATATATATGTACGTATATGGTGAGACTGTTGAGAGTGGGTAGGAGAGCGGTGTTTGGTTCTTTTCCTTCTTTTCTTTTTCCCCTCCAATTTCTGCAAATTGCCTGGGCTTGTTTTTGATTAGTTAGATTATTCTATAAATCAGTCCAGATGTTTCAGTTATTCTGTAATTTGTTGAGCTTTGGCTCAAGTCTTTTCAAGAGCTTTTTTCCCTCATGTAGTGATTGATTTCAAAGTTAATTCCCATATCTTTAACCACAGTGCTCAGTTATAAGATGTAACAGTTCTAAGGATCAGAAGCAATACTGCTTAATCAGAAGTGTAGAACTGAAAGCTAATTACAGCTCGTTGCGATTGTTGCCAGAAAAATGTAGGATATTCTCAGACAAAATGTACATATAAATTTAACATATTTGTAAATACATATTTATTTGTGCATTTTAAATGATTAAATATTTATCAGAAGTTTAACGTGATGAATATGAAGTCTGTGACGCAAAGCCAATGCTCCCTATAAGCAGACTGCCAATGCTGTTACTGTAAAACACTTAGGAGTCTGCACTTCAGCAGGAGATTGTCAGACAATGCAAGGAATTTGCAACAGCCGTATCTGTAGTTAATATATCTTTCCTTCTCCCCTCAGTTAGAAATTAAAAGCTGACAGATGAGAGATAATAACTGAATCTGCACGTTTCTATTCTCCTGTAAATAAGTTATTTTTAACTGAGCATAAAAAGAGACAGGAAAGCAAACCTTTTAGCATTACATTGAATGTTAATCTTTTCTTTTCTTGTATATTACAGAGATCTGTCTTATAATCTGCTGGAAGATTTACCCTGTTTTACTGCATGTAAAAAGCTACAAAAAATGTAAGCTTCAAACTATCCTAAAACGCCCAAAAAGAGGCATCTAGATAGAATTTGCTTGAGCATCATTAATTCAGTTACAACTGACCAATTTGACGTACTCAAATACGTATCCTTACAATGTACTGAAGTGGATCATAAATGGTCTACAGTACTGCTTAGTGTCTTCTGGATACCTTTGGAACTGAGATAATTTTTATTGCTGTTTCAGTGACTTGCATCATAATGAAATTGATGAAATCAAAGCAGACACATTCCGGCAGCTGGCTTCTCTTCGTTCTCTGTGAGTACAGCACTAATGGTGGCTCACATTGGTGCTCAAACACATGGGGGTATATTTTCTATTAATTCACTGTCTATTCACTGTCTGTCCACTGTCTGCCACAAGTCACTCTAATTTCTATTTCTCCTCACTTTGATCTTTCATCCATTAAGTTGTGATTTGGAAAGCAGAATAAACATTTTTAAGTTTAGTTATCTGAACAATGAATTCAGATATGTAAACTTACAGATATAGAAGCTGTTACTTCTAAACATTTATGGTAGAGGTGGAGGAAGATGCTGTCCCAGAGCTAGTATCTATCTGCAGAATCAGCTCTGAGGAGCATGAGGTCTTTATAGGGGTAGGTGTTCTCTATGAAGAAGAACAATAAGAAATACATAGGTCATTCCAAAAGTAATTCTTCCCACGAAAACGACAACAGATACAAGGAGCATAATAACATTATTTGACAGAACAAATTCTCAGCTGCAAAGCACAGCTTTTTGTCATGATCACAATTAGCCAATTTGCACGGGTGACCTGGTTAAGATACTCTTCATGGTGTGACAGCTGTGCATGGCTATCTGGAACATGGGTTTGTCTTTCACATCACTGTTGCCACTGTTGGAATGCATCACCCACTGCCTCACTGTGCTCTCATCCACTCTTTGGTCTCTATAAACATTCAGCAAGTGTCAATGCGTGTCATTTTTTCTGCATGGAGGAATTTGGTGATGCCCCTTTGCTTCATACACACTTCCATGTCACACAACATTTTATCAGACGTCTCCTCTGCTGCCATCTGTCACACAGCAGCAAAATGTAATGGAATATTGGCGGGAAGGTTCCCCCTCTACTACCACCAACATCTGCTTCCGATGTCATGGGCCAACATAATAAAATAGGAGGCATTACTTTCAGAGCACCCATCATAAATTTCAAACTTGTGTATGTTTCTAGTGTTCATACAGACACAGCAGAATAACTTTGTAGAGAAATTACTTAAGAGTATTTGCAGGATCAAGTCTGTATATATATAGTATATTATGTAGCTACTTATTTCAGTTTTTCCTTGTTTGTAACTCAGTTAAGTTTATTGACAATGGATTTGCTGTTACTAATCATATCATAAGGTCCTCTTAGAAGTAGTCTATATAACCCATTCCTCTGTCTGCTACCTTGGGAAACTAAAGCAGACTGAAAACAACTGAGTTAGACTGCAAAGGGCATTAAGAAGTTTTAGAGAATGTTGTCACTTTAGTAACTAACTCCATTAACTGACTAACATAATTTTAAAAATTTCCATAAGATTTTGCAGCATGAGATTTGCAGAAGTTTATTGAAAGTATTTGCATGTAATTAATACCTTTTTTATATTTAGGCACCCTAATCAAGTGTATGAAAACTTCCATATTCACTCAGTGGGTATGTAATTTTCCACTCACTTTTCTTGTAGGGATTTAGCTTGGAACAAAATTAAAATTATTCACCCCAATGCCTTCTCCTCTTTACCATCTCTGATCAAACTGTAAGTATTTGTATATCTTTTACATTTAAATTTTAACATTTTTCTTGCAAGAGCATACAAAGCACTGGTAACTTGTTAATTGCCCCACTCAGCAGAAATAGAAACTGTCTCTGTTCTAATCTTCTGGTCTGTCAGATCTGTATCTAAATGTCTGCTTTCTTGTACTTCACCAATTCCCATAGGTATTATGGCAAAGCTGCATACACCAGAGTGTAATCAGGATGATTAGAGCTCCATGAAACATATCAGTGTATCTTCCATTCTTCTTTCAATTTGTTAGTCAGTTACTGTCTTTTAACAGTGGGGCAGATGCCTTATTAGTTGTGTATCAAAACTAAGGAAATTGACACAAAATCAAATTACAAACATTGTTTATCATTGCATGGAATAGTTTTTCTTCTTAAGTAACTTTAGTCAGATTATTTAATGAATAAAACACCAAAAATCCAATTTTGCAGGTCTTAATTACAAGCACTTCTTTCTTTACTTTTTCCTTCTTCCCACTGTAATTGTAATACCTCTATAAGGTGAATCCCTGGGGTGTATCCCTGGGGACAACATGAAAGAAAATTCCTCTGCAGTTATCTTGCTCTGCAGTTGTTCACAAATGCACGCTGACGGGTATCTGATCACAGATAATCCAGGAGTTTGATTTGGGAGTTACAGGAAACAAAAATTTGAAAAGAGGCATTAATTTCTTTTGACGGACTAAGCCACCCCTCTGAATGGTGGACTGAAAAATGTCTATGAGGAGAATATTGCCTATGGCATACTTTTTGGAGGGATCCTCCTTAGTGCTTTCTTATAGAACGAAGAATACAGGACCATTGTTCTGCCAGCAATAAATTCTTCCCTTGATCAGTAGAAAACCCTTTGAACACACACATAAACCACTGTACCAAGTGTTACCTGAAATGCCTCTCTGTAACCCTCATCTGAATGAAGTCATGGTAGACTTCACAGTTCAGTTGAACCAAAACTTCATCTTTGGTAATTAACTGTCTTGTGAGCAGTAGGACATACGCATGCACAAGTACATGCACATTAAACGTGAAAAGGTAGAAAACCAGTACATCAACAAGTCTCTTATTTTATGACTAGCCCTTTTGATTTAGATGTTCAAGGGACAAGATCTTTACAGTCCACCCGTAAAACCATACCAGTGGCATCAGACTCTCCTTTTTTCTTTTTTGAGCATTGACCATCTGAAGTGTTGCAGTGTAGATTATCATGAAGAGGACTGAAACAGCTTACTGAATAAATGGTAGGGAGAGGGAGTAATAGAAAACAGAATGCATCTGAACATCTGCCTTTGCTTACTTTACCATTTCCCCTTGATCACTGTTAGCTTTCTGCTGAAAATATAGGTGTATATTTCTGAGTGCTGTTGCAGTTTTGCTCTGTTGATTGCGACTTGTGTATAACACAGTCATTTTTTATCCATTTGGAAAACTATGGCCTACTTCTCCAATATGACACTTCTATTACAGAATTAAAATAAAAGAGAACCTGTAAGCTGATTTTTATTTGCTGTTATGCAGGGATGTGTCATCCAACCTTTTGTCCTCTTTTCCTGTGACGGGGCTACATGGTCTAACTCATTTAAAATTAACAGGAAATCATGCACTACAAAGTTTGATATCATCTGACAATTTTCCTGAACTCAAGTGAGTATATCATTAAAACTAATAAGCTACATTTGTGTTCATGTGCAGTGGAAGGTGTGTCAGTGTGTAACGCATGTTGTTTCATATTGTCAGTCTTTGATCTGTGCTATTAAAACCAAAGCAAATATGATAAAAATGATAGACTTATTTTATTATGTTCACTTTTAACTGAAGAAACTGTGAAGTGTTTTGAAATATTAACCCCAGTACTTGGTTAATATGAGCCACATCTGCTTCCTGGTGATATATTTCAAAAGCTGTTAAAACAATATGATATGATATGTCTTTCTACTGGTCTGTGCTTACAGAATTTCCCTTACGTTTAGAGAGAACTCAGTAAATATCAAAAACATACTATTGAAGTTTTAAGATATTCGGCCATTTTTGTTCCAAGTAAAAATGAATGTGGTTTGTTTTTTTGTTTGTTTGTTTGTTTGTTTTTTTCTGTAATATTTGGTTTAAGATTCAGAGAACACAGAGCCATGGAATTAGGAAATTGCAGGGATTAGAAGGGATCTCAAGTGATCATTGAGCCCAACCGCCCCCCAAAACTTTGCCATTGTGTGCCATATAAAATTTTGATGCTAATAATTTTTTGCTGGCTGCTCTGTGATACAAGGAGGAACTGTTATCTAGAGATTATTTGCAGCTCTGCCAGTCACTGCATGACCATAGAAAAGTCACAGTAAATCATTTTGCCTCTGATTTCAGGATACTGGGGAGTGTTCCTTAACTTTCCCTTGATTTTCATGTTTTAATTGGAGGATACAAACTGAAAAATATTTTTTTTCCTCACTTTAATGTAAAATTTTTGATACCATAAAATTCAAAACAGTTGAACAGTATGAACATAATTAGAGAATTACAGAGTGGTGGAGATGGGAAGGGACCTCTGGAGGTCATGTAGCCCAACCTCCTTCTCAAGCAGAGCCACCTGTAGTCAGTTGCCCAGGCCTATGTCCATAAGAATTGAAAAGTCTGCAAGGAAGACTCCATACTTATGTCCTCCCTAGATTTGCATTTTGCACTGGAAGAGTTCCATAAGTCATTATATGCAGACGACTCAGGGAAATGTGCTACTGATGGAAAGGACTGGAGTTTTTGTACATTGTTATTTGTTACAAATAAAGGTGTGATGAATAGAAGTAGGGAGATGATTAAATGTTTGAATAAAGCACTGGATGGAACCATACTGGAGTACTTTTATGATGCTATGTTAATATAAACAGAGAGAAGAGTTGCAAAAATGATTCAAGCGCCATGAAACAGTGCTTAAAAGACTTAATAAACCCAGTGTTTGTAGCTTGTCACAGAGGAAATTGGTAGTGACTCAATCACTGGTGTGTAAAACTACTTTGTAACATAAATGTTCAAAGTGCTAGAGGCCTTATGTAAGTCTTCAGATGAGTCTCAGAGGTCAAGAAGCAAGTATCATAAAAAGTTGTGAATGTCTGAGCCTGAGCGTCTGCCTGTTTTTCTTCTCTCACTGACTTTGCCAGCATGTTGAGGCAGGTAATAATTCTAAAATGCCCAAAGCCTCTTAAAAAGAACCTAAACACAAGAAAATTGATCACTCCAAAATAGAAAACATACAGTAATACATATACCATGCGTGTACCTGTAGTGGTCCTAGAACAATTTATTGTTTAATTGTGTACAGGTTAGATTTTTGATTTCTTTTGTCAATATTACACTTTATGTGGGTTGGGGTTTTTTTTCACAAGATAAATTATATATATTGCTGAAATGCAACTACAGTGTATTTAGTTGGAATGAGTAATTAAAAAGGATGTGCCAAGCAATGGCTTAATTAAAAAGATATAAAAAGTATGACCGTTGTATCTAGAGCTGATTAACATCTGTAAGAGCAAATTATATCCATTCAGGAGAGAATGGGATAAAATCCTACCCTGGATCCTGTAGGACTTGTACCATAAATTAAAATGAGGCCAGGACTTCATGCAGGATCACTGCAGACAGTGCATGAAACACCAACTTGAACAGAGATCTGAAACGAAATGAAATTTCACCCTTTTTAATTGTTGGAACTAAACATTGGTTTCAACATTAAAGACAAATTCCTGTATAAAAACTTCCTGCTCATCTAAATGGGTCATTGCTGCTCAATACACAAACACATCAAAGAGCTGAGCATCCTCTGCCCCACCTTCAGCAATGGCCCAAGAATGCTCAAAGAGCCGAGCCCAGCTTGCTATAACAAGCTATGAGGAAGTAAAGTCAGGCTGCCAACCACTCCTTCCCCCTTTATCTGATGCTTTGATTCAGTGCTGTAAAGAACTCAGTGACTAGCTCCATTCGTCATAACTGTGCATTTCCATTCACCATCAACCAATCTTTGTGAGGTGGAAAACAACCTTGTGTTCCCTGATGTTTGATCTAAAATCAGGAAAAGAGATATTCCTTGCAGCAGGAAAAAAATGTCAGGGGTACAAATACCATCAGTAAGGTAAGAAATATGTAAAAATAAATTCAGACAGTGTTTCTATGGGACTATAATTTGACAAACTCCAAATCTAATCACCACTATCACATAAGCACCAGGTATAAAAAGGACTGTTTCTGGCACTGTATGGCTGAGAGTTGCCTTTTTTTTTTTTTTTTTTTTTTACATTAAAAGTTGCTTTTAAAGGAAAGGAATTCCTCTGTCACCAAGAACTGGTGCTAATTGCTTTCCATTGCAAAGTATATTTTATCCATTGTGTTCTGGGTCCCAGTCAGTCTGTTCAAATATGCCTTGCACAGACATTCAGAAGTATTTGCAGGTTTAAAACCTGTATGTATGACCTAGTAACTAAAAAATAAAAAATAAAAAATAAAAAAATAAAAATTCAGTTGTTTGGGTTTATCAAAAGGTTCTTGAAAGTCCTAAAGAGAGGATAGGAAATTGGAGTCTTAGTCTTTAACCAAAAACAATTTTTCTGGCCACTTTTTGGAAGCTGTGGAACAACACCATGTGAGAGGTCCACATTTCAACTTTGTGAGAGGCCAGTGGGTAAAAGCCCAAAAGAACCTGAAAATCTGTTCTTGTTAGCTATGCATTAAACACAGCACAGCCAACTGGTCAGAAGAGCAAACATCCAGAAGAGAGCAAACATCCAGAAGCAGGTAACAGGGCTGGAAGGCATCTCCTGTGAGGAGAGGCTGAGGGCACTGTGCTGCTCAGCCTGGAGGAGAGGAGGCCAAGAGGCAACCTCACTGCTCTGTGCAGCTCCTGATGAGGGGAAGCAGAGGGAGCTGCTGGGCTCTGCTCCTGGGAACCGATGGCAGAATGGGAACAGCACAGGGCTGCAAGGGGAGAGTCAGGCTGGAAGCATTTCTGTGCCATGAGGGTGGTCAGACAGTGGGAGAGACTTCCTAGCGAGGTGCTAGATGCCTGTCAGTGCTAAAGAGGTGTTTGGACTCTGCCCTCTGTAATGTGCTTTAAGTTCTGGTCAGCCCTGAACTGCTCAGGCAGTTGGACTAGGTGAAAGTTTCTTCCAACTGAATTATTCCATTCCAAAACACACTTGCTTTCATTTCTTGAACCTAAAATACCCACTAGCTATTTCCTCAGCAATATTAAACACTTCAGAAGGTTTAACATCACAATTTGCAGTGATCATCTTATAGAAATTTCAGTGTTTCCTTTTTTAAAGTGTTTTGTGTTGGTTTTTATTTATTTTTGTCAGCCCAGGAGGTGACTAACTGTTGGTCAGTTTTGTAATGTGTGGATATAGTAATAGTTTATTTAAGAAGAGCTTCTGGGAAAAGTTTACAGAAATGTTTCATCAGGATAATATTCATATTTTAAAAGATCACATGTAGAGAAATGAGTTAGAAATTGAATATTTAAGTCAGTCAGATGGCATGAAGTTGCATGATAGAACTTAGTTTTCTTGAACTTTTACTAGAGTATTGAAAAAGTAGCTTGTGCAATTTTGTACTGCTTACAAGAGTACAGATTATTGTTGCTAATTCCCAACAGAAATATAAGTGTATAGAGTCTAAGTTCTCCAAATGCACTAATTTAAAATTCACTTTAGAGCTTAGGGTTCGGTTTGCTCTTCTCTAAACTTGCTAGCATGCAAGCTTAAGTGTTGGCATTGGGCGCAGTTCACAAACTGATTCTCTTGTAGACTTTTCAGGGCATTAAGTGTTGCTCGGAACATTCATTATGTTAATTTACATGACTAATTTGTTGAAAGTAACGTGGTAGTAGTCACATCTTTACCTCTGAAGGTTTATCAGTCTGTTGAAATTAAGGTGAATTGTTAGGTTTCACTATGTTACTACTGGGGATCTGCAAACTAAATGTCTCTGTTTCCAGTGCATAAAGTATGTCTCAGCAATAGAAGAAGTAGCCTTTAGAAGTTGTATACATGTAGTTCTTCCCCAGAATTTGCATATCGACAGAGAAATGTAGTTGAAAACATATTGGACATCAGTAATTTTCTGGCAATAGTCGCCTCAAAATCTTTGAAAATCACTCATCTGTACTCAGTTTTGTGTTAGGAATTCCAATTTTACTAAGGGAGTTAGAAATGACATCCAGCGTCCTTCAATGCTCATTGCTGTGACAATTAGTAAACTGAAAACCTTTTCTTCAGTGACATATATTTTCATATATGTTGCATTTGTGATTTATTCACCTTTCTGTTTAGAACACTACTTTCTTGGTCTATATACAAAAAGCAATCTCCTTGTTGCCATTTTACTGTGAAAAGTGTTTGATGTGGAAACAGATAGATGAAATTTGAATCCAAAAATAGATCTTATTTCCCAAAACTGGAGAAATTCCTTTTGGGAAATTAGATTTTTGTTTTGCCTGTTAGGCAGGTTAGGCACAGTTGTGATCTTTTGGTTTTTTAAAAGAAACCAGTAAGAAAGTAACGTGGAGAAACCGCTGAGTTACATTGAAAAACTATTAAAAGACAAAATAGAAATGGAACTCTCAGAGTAACATTCACTCAAGAGCAATTTATGTCTTCTACTTCCATATCTCCCATGAAAATGTGTAAGAAAATTTCACTGGGCCTTCACTACAAGTACCCTAGAAATCATCTGCATTTCTGGCAGAGGGTTCTATCTGTGAATCTTCAGTTTATATCATCATGATTGACTTTTACCCATAAGTATTTCTACTTTCAATTCTGGCTGTTTAACCAAGTTCATTTGCACTAACATTAGAGAGCAGTACAGTGAATAGCTCATGCTCCATCCCGGTATCATGGTATATTTCAATGTTCTTCTCCAGGGTCATGGAAATGCCTTATGCTTATCAGTGCTGTGCCTTTGGAGCTTGCGAGAGCCACTACAAAATCTCCAGCCAATGGAACAAAGATGAGAATAGCAGCACTGATGATTTTTCCAGGAAGGATATTGGGTTGTTACAAATTCAAGGTAATTGTTACCTTTCATTTTTAAATCTTCCTAAAGGTTGTGATTTTTCAAGTGGGCAGCCTGTGATGTTAATCTTATCCAATACTCTTTCACAGTCACAAAGGCAGCCTCTTCCTCTCTTGCCTGGCAATGTGTTATTCAAGCATTGCTATGCTTAGGGAACTCATTTTGTCAGGTTTGCCGTACAAAAATCTCACTCACTCATTTTTCTGTCCAAGTATGGGGAAGTGAAATCTTCCCTTCATCTGAGAGACAGGGAAGTGGTGCTCATATGTAACTCTATAAAATAATCGAGCAGCAAAGACTTAGTATCTTGCCAGCCTTGGAAGTAGCAGCACTGCCTTCTCTGTCCTGCTGCACCCATGCTTCAGGATATCACAGAGCTTGTGTGTGGTTACTTAGGTGTAGCTGCTGGGATTTTTTCCTGGCATTTCCTGGGTACCAAGAGTGCATCTGTTCTGCAGAGCAGAAATTTACTTTGTTTTCTTCCCCTTCAGCAGAAGTTCTGTTATTTGACCTGCCATGTAAATGCATACATACATGTTATACCAACCTTCTGCTTTCATTGCTGTCTCCAGTCCTGAAGACTAGTAGTTTTCAAAGTTCAGGGCTAGTTCCAGCAAGAGCAGAGCCAAGAATACATGGTAGATCAATGACACACAAAGAAACACAAGAGCCTGGGTTAAATCTTAATAGAGGGGCACAATAGTGGAATTCGTATTTTTAACTCCTTCCTACACAGTTGTCACATTGCAAATGAAGTAATGGAGAAAGCACCTTTCTGAAAGTGATTGTTTTCAGAGAAGTGATGATGCCAACTTTTTAAATAATCCTGAGTACAGTGACTTAGAACCAAGAAAGCATACATCTGCTTCTTCTTACAGTTTGGCAGGCAGAGAGATGAGAATAGGCCTTAAATAGCCAGGACTTTTTTGCAGCTTGTACAAAAAGAAATTTTCCTGAAAAATGCAGTATCAAATCTGAGTATTTTCTCCCCCATAGATGAGCGAGACTTTGAAGATTTTCTTCTCGACTTTGAAGAAGATTTGAAAGCTCATCATTCAGTGCAGTGTTCACCTTCTCCAGGTATAGAACTCCAATAGATGGGAATCTAAGAGCAATGTTGCTAGATATTTTAGATGCAGTAACAAACTCTGAATCTGAAACTAGGATGGAGACAATAAATTTGCAATAATATCTGTACAATAATATGAAATTCTGCACAGTCCTCCAGAAAACTCTGCAAACACTGAATTCATCTATGAACGTACCAGAAATTTCACACTCTGGCAGATCTTCACTCTTTTCCCTTTTCAGAGGAATTGGTCTTCTTATCAGGGGGACGAGAAAGCAAAGGTTCTCTTCTGCCAATAAATAGATAATAGTAGAACAGAATCTTTGCTTGCTCTTTCCTTTGCGAAACTGAAGTACTTCTTCATTGAGTTATTCTATATTCTATACTTGAACTTTTTGAATAACACACAGTTTAATATCTAGGACAAACAAAACACTACAGTACTGAAATATATAGAGTTCATCACAAGGAACACCCAACACAGTCGTTTCCTTCGGAGAGTAAGTAGTACATCCCTGGCTTTGCAGTATGATGGAAAGGTTTTAAGGTTTAAAAAATAAAAAGTGATTAAATTGCAAGGCTACTAGTCACCTGTTACACTTAAATTTTACCTGAAGATGAGGAAAGTGTTTGGAATATAACTTCTAGTTTTAGCATCCTGTTCAACAAAGATTCTCCCTACTTGTTCTTCCATTGTGAAGCATGAACAAAAATCAGCTAGTACTTCAAGACTCGCTCCAATCCAAGATCCCCATGTTTCTCTACTGCCTCCTTTGTTATTGAGCTCATTAAAACATCATTGTCTTCATGATAAGTTGTCACCAGACACCTGTAAACTGACACAACGGATGCTTCTGCCTACTCAATGGAAACAGTAGTTGTATGGAGTACAGCTCAGCAGCAGGGGTTGTGTCTTCATGGAGAAGGTGGATGACTTGCTTTGAGGAAGCACAGCTGACTAGTACCAAGACAAGTAATGTTTCTCATGCGTTCAGCTTCAGTCACACACTGGGCAAGCTGATCTGGTGGGTGGAGAAAGGGATTCAAACTAGGTGATCTTTAATGCCCCTTCCAACCTAAGCTATTCTATGATTTATCTTCACATCTCGAGAATGTGTCATTCTGGAACTGCTATGTCAAACATTCTACCAAATAATACTTTTCACTTTCTGCAGTGTTATTTCCTTACTTGCAGTATATCTTGACAGTCAACTTATGCAGAAAAGTATATCTGAATTGTAAGTCAAAGATTTAGGGATTCCACTCTGGGGATATTTCTCAAATGGAGTGGTCTCAGGAAATTTCTTTGCAGCCAAAATAAAACATGTCATATCTTCCATCATGAAAATTCTTCAACAACCCTGATCTCCTCTAAAAGGTCGGATTTATCATCGGAATCTGAATGGAATCCTCTCAGATCTCACTGGATCTCAATCCAAACTAGTAGATTACAGTGCATTTGTCTTTTGAAGATGGGATATTTAGTATCCATTACTTCACTGAGAATGCTGGGGATGATGACAGACTTAAAGATGTTACCCGCATTTTTCTGTCTCAACAACTTGCCTTTAAGGATCCATTCCAGATTCTTGGCAGAAAGGATTAAAAATTCATCCTGAATTTATTCAAAATTTAGTTGTTCAAAAAGAGACTTCCTATTCTTTCCAATGCTTCATGTATTACAGTTTTCTTCCTCTTGTGTAGGATGTTGAAAAGTAGATCTGGCCTTTAGCTTTTCAAAGGTCAAAGCCATTTGAGTCACCTCATAGAATCAGTGAGGATGAGAAAATGAAGAGCAAAGCACTCCTCTGAAAAGACACTGCAAAGGGGTCTTGTACTGTGTAATGACATGCTGTTTGGCAGCCAGAGTGTATCTGTTCATATCCATTACATCAAACTTCACCAGGACTCATTAGCAACTTATTCTGGTTCAGCAAGAGATCTTTTTCAGCTTCACATGACAGCATTCACTGAAACTACGAACTGGACATTCTATTCAATAAGTAAGAAATCTAGTCAGTAGTTTCACATGAAAGTTTGACCTCCAGCTGCTAGTTTAGAACAGTAAAATATGTATCCAGTAACTAATGCAAGAGACAAGCCTTCAGGATTTTTCTGGTAAGCTTCCTGTTTTCCCATATGGCGTTCTGCACATATGTGAGCCCATAGCTGGTGCAAGAAGAAGGTACAGCTGTCCTTTTTCTTGAAGAATTTTTCATGGCAGTCACACTGCACTTGTAGATTAAAAACAAACATAAAAAAAGAAAAAAAACTAGAATGTTCAGGCGAAGGGACAGACGCACGCGATACGCAGATAAGTAGTGCGCTATTGAGATCTCTTATTGCTCAGAAGAAAGATAAAATATCCAGATCTCCTTTTGGAGTGAAATTCACTGCTTGGCTACGCTAAGAAAAAAGTGAAAAATTGAATTTTACTTTACATGAGTTTTCCTTTCTCCTTTTTTTCTCTTGTCTTTTCAGGTCCCTTCAAACCGTGTGATCATCTCTTTGGTAGCTGGCTTATCAGAATTGGAGTATGGACCATCGTCGGTTTGACCTTCGTTTGCAATGCATTGGTGACAGCTACAGTTTTCAGATCTCTGTTGTATATGTCCTCCATAAAGCTTTTGATTGGTCTAATAGGTATTGTAAATGCCTTGATGGGTCTTTCCAGTGGAGTACTGGCTAGTGTGGATGCATCGACTTTTGGTAGCTTTGCTCAGTATGGAGCACAGTGGGAAAGTGGAATTGGTTGCCAAATGACTGGTCTTCTCTCCATTTTTGCTTCAGAAGCTTCCATTTTCCTCCTTACCCTAGCTGCGCTTGAGCGCGCATTCTCTATAAAGCATGCTACAAAGTTTGAAACAAAATCCTCTATTGCTAGTGTAAAAATTGCCATTTTCTTTTGCTTTATGTTGGCACTTGTCATTGCAGTGATACCTCTCCTCACTGGGAGTGAGTATGGGGTTTCTCCACTTTGTTTGCCATTACCATTTGGAGAACCCACTGCTATGGGCTACATGGTAGCGCTGGTATTGCTGAACTCACTTTGCTTCCTGGTAATGACTATTGCTTATACAAAGCTCTATTGCAGTTTAGAAAAAGGAGAACTGGACAGTATTTGGGATTGCTCTATGGTCAAACATATAGCCTTGCTGCTTTTTACTAATTGCATTCTTTATTGCCCTGTGGCCTTCTTGACTTTTTCCTCCTTACTAAATCTTACCTTTATCAGCCCAGAAGTGATAAAGTCCATACTGCTGGTGATTGTCCCACTGCCTGCGTGTCTAAACCCACTCCTTTATATATTGTTCAATCCACACTTCAAGGAGGACTTGGGAAGTTTGCGAAAGCAAACTCTGCTATGGAGGAGGCCAAAACATGCTAGTCTGATCTCTGTGAATTCAGAAGACATAGAAAAACAATCTTGTGACTCAACGCAAGCACTGGTAACCTTCACAAGTGCTAGCATATCATATGACATGCCTACCAGCAATTCGCTCATGCCATCGTCTTATCAAATGACAGAAAGCTGCAATATTTCATCCGTAGCATTTGTTCCATGTCGCTAGTTTCAGTGGCAGTGCAGAAAATATGTATGTTTACAAATTTTTTTTAACCCAAAAGTAAGTATGGGTGTGTGTTTTCAAGCTAGAGATTGCCTCTGAATTACTGTTACATGCATCACAAAACAGATGATGACAAAACTTGCAGTAGGCTGAAAATCCAGTAGTTTAGCCTTCTCAGCCAGTTTCAGAGCTGCTGGAATGAAGAGAAAATCTGAAAGCTGCAGCAGTTTCTGCAGTTGTATTGGCGGTTCCCTTTCAAAGTAGCACTACTCAGAAAAGGCAGTTGGTTAAGAGCAAAAATACTGTGCTGAATTGGTAAGCTTTTTCTTTAACACATCTTCAACACAAACATGGCACACTTTGTTTCATGGGTTGGGTTTTTTGTTATTTTTTCCTGTTTAATATAATTTGGTCTTAATAATAGATACTCAGTGCCGAGTCTGTTTTTATAAGCATCAGCATATGGCCCTCATTCAGCAAGATGTCTAAGTAGAAGAGTAGTCCTGTTGGAAAACCTAAAGGTTTTTGCAGAATATACTTCAATTAAGTTCAATAGAGAAAGTTCATTTAATAGTTTACCTGCTGCTGGTTTTGGTTTTGCAGAAGTTGTCTGACATGACAAAGTATTTTAATTGCCAGAAAAATCTACAGAATTATTATATAGTATAAAAGCAGTTAATCAAAATCCTGCTAAGCACTTAAAATGGAATCATAAACAGCAAGCCATTGCTACATTAATATTTTTTTCCTACGGTTCTGCACAATCTGGTCGTGAATTACCAGCATGCCAGTAGAACTACTAATGATAAAACTGACAGTTGAGAGACTCATAGAATTTGAGGGAGAAATACTACATGAAAGGTCATGAATACAGGCAGACTGGTGTGTTGAGTACAAGTAAATGACTCGAAAGGCACTCACACGAAAGCACTGATGTAAGGTCATTTGTCTAGGAATGAAAATGATAGTCCTGCTCCAGGCATTTCTAGAAAGCCTCTCAAGGTCATTAGTTGAAGATGTGGAGGTCACTGTGTCTTTTTGGCTAATGATAGATATGGGAATACAAGGAGTGAAGGTTTTATGGTCTGTGTTCTTAGCACTGTTGCGAGCACTACGGGAGGATTTCAGACATTTTTTGTATTCACATGCTGTAAAGAACATTGGGGAAATAAAACATTTCAATGTCACAAATATACTTTAAAAAAAAAAAAAAAAAAAAAAAAGCTGATCAAATAAGCAGCTTGACCACAGTTTGTGAGCAGCTACTTCTGGAAAACAGAAGTTTGAGGGAAAGGACTAAGTCAGGAGGAGAAGAATCTGGTAAGATCCCATGGAGGTTGATGCTAGGTGTGTATACACAGCATAAAAACAAAGGTGCGAATTGCTGACGTCAACGGTCGCTGCCAAGTAGAACAACTTGCCATGGCTTGGAGTGAAAACTCACCAAGTAAATTCAAATTGGATACATTGCCAAAAAAGGTTTTGGAGCAGCTATTGGAATTCAGGGATGCCTGATGGCATTAGTTTAGGAGCTGGTTAGATTAGATTAACATAGAGTACCTCTCTTGATTGTAATCTGTTAATACTTTGCTGAATCATGATGTGTACGTTTACACATCATGTAATTAGGTGAGAAGACTTCAGACCTTTTCCAAGCGTACAGAGCTCCCTTCCTTTGCCCAGAAGACAAGCAGTCTTTGACCTTGGCCAAGCCATCAGAGGACCTTCCAATCATCTTTTCTTAGAGCTGGCATATTTTCACTCAAGTGAGTTGATCATTTATGACACGGAAATGCACAGATTTGTTAAAAATAGCTCCCTGAGGAATAACCTTTAATAGCCCAGTAATCACTTTGCAGTTAATGGCCACTCAACTTCTAGGTGAATGAGACTAATTTTTGAACATTACCACAGTTAAGCTAGCCCTGTAATTAAGATAATCAGTTACAGATGGTCACTGTTGTTCATCTGTTACTATATATGCAACTTTCTGGGACTACAGGATGGATTTTCACAGTGAAGACTCTATTGCCAACAATGGATATGCTTTGGCTTTCTTGTCTACTCACACTGGCATATTTGTAGGTTTGCAGTTACAGATGGCTTAGTTGACTTTGGCTGACATGTTCATCCTTCAGGGAAAAAAAAATGAACCAATGCTGAAATTATGTATGATAAAGTCAGCTGAGTACTTATCTGAATCCTTTATCTCTTGTGGGTTTTGAAGCAGTGCAGCATACAGCTGGGGAATGATGCCTGAAACCACTTTGAATTAAACAGAAGATCAGTCAGCCATTGCACAATGCCTATTACCGTGTTTACTTAGCTTTAATTTAAGTGGGGTCTGTCTGTGCTGCACTGCTTAATGTCAGTGAAATTCCTTTCAGCTCGCTATATTTAAGAAGTTTGTAAAGTGATTTGAGAATCAAAGTAATGTTATAATTCTAAGGACTGGTTAAAGAAAGCTTCTTTTATCAAAACTTTTTTAACTCGCAGAAAGTCCTAAAGGCTCCGTGTCTTATTTTTATAAGCATGTTTGAAATATTTTGATCAAATATTTTAAACTTGAAATTGTTAAAATTCATTTAATAGATTTTAAAGTAAAATTTGTAAATATAGAACTGTATTTATTATTACAGTGAAATGCAACTCCACTATAGGACGTGAGATTAAGCCCTGTACAGTTTCGTATTGATATTTGCTATATTTTCTGCTCAGATATATTGCTAAATTCATTATCTGTAAATAATATAATGTAAATGTGTAGTGATTGTAAATAGATGATGTGCTTTCTTTTCTACCTGTGTTCCAAACTTATGTCAGTTGTAATAAAATGTGACTACACAGTAAAGAGCATTTAATCAGGGCTTAACACTTCACAACTGTGTGCATCTTCAATTAATCCTTCCCAAGTTATTCTAATATTTACACAAACATCTCCAGATGTCCAGAATTCTTGGCCAGATATAACTTGCAGGCTGTGTGCTCTCGTTATGTGCCCTGGGGAGCAAAAAATACTGGAAAACAGTGTTTCATTTCAGCATGGACTGAATCTTCTACAAAAAAACAGGTTCTGCTCCCTGCTGTCTGTATCTCAGTGACAACCACACACTGCTGCCATCTCAGCTCAGACCGTGTGTCACAGGCATGCACGAAGTCACACAATGAAGGGTTGCCTGGCAGACTTCTGACCTCTGTGGGCCACATGGGAGATGAGGGGCTGCTGCACTTACTGCTGGCGTATGCAGGACAACAAATTCTCCTATATACATCTTCATTTTCTCTCCAATGCTGTATGTGGCAGGCAGAGCTGGTAATTCATCTGGCAAAGCTCACAGCAGAGGGGCAGTAGCAGCATCACATACAGGAAGCACAGGGTGAAGGTGTTCAGGGTAAGTGGATGGTGGGGCACAAAACATGGGATTTAGCAAGAGTCACACGGCTCAGCTGCACCAGGGGTGGCAGCTCTGCTGGAGGAAAGGCAGAGAGCAGCTGAAGGCTCAAGTCATCCTTTAGGTAACAAGAAAAGGTGGTGGCAGATACGTTCTTGTTGGAAGGGACTGCAGTGCAGAACAGTGCTGTGTGCTTATTTTTTCAGAGATTGTGAGTGGGTCCTTTCTGGGAAGAACCTGAAAGAGATAATGCACCAATGAAGTACAAACACTGTGAAAGCAAACGACCATTCAGACAGGAATTCAGGGCAGCAATACAGGGAAGTAACAAACTACAAAGACAAAAAATAAAATATTTCAGTTGCAGGCAGATTTTAGCAGGAAATGCACAGGTTCTCAGAATGAATAAGAAAGTCAGAGTGTATGGGGTCATCCAGACAGAAAGGGCAGTTAAAAACAAGTACTTCTGATGGGTGAGTTTGGGGACGCTTGTGTTAAGAAGGGGCAGAACCAGCAGTGAGTGGTGATGAGAGGGCATTAATTACCCACAGAAGGAAAAATCAGACACATGGCAGAGTACAGGAGAGTGCACAACTCAGGGAGGAAAGGGAGCTTTAAGATACAAAAGGCAAACAGGAGCAGAATTTGATGGGATGTTAACAATAGTAGAGTTTTGTGATGGATGAAGAGCTCAGAATTAATATAAAAGATGTGATGGCTGAGGAGACAGCGAAGAGTTTTTCACAAGGCAATATCAGAGCTGGGGACCATGTGGGAGAAGAAAGGTATGCTATTTGAGGAAGGAAACACTGCATGATCAGACTCGCTCCTCTGAGAGACAGAAACCATGGAGGAAGAATGGGATGGTTTGATGAAACCTTTGGTGGAGAGTGGAAAAAGAGATCAGTGTTGTATGTTCTGGAACATGGAAGATGGACCTGATTGACTTGTTTGTCAAACAGCGAGCAGTAGGGCCTGAGGTCAGCTTCGGTTTTCTGGTGATCTGTAAGCACATGTGAGCACGGGTGACTTCTGCCTCCAAACACTTGTGCCTCAGAAGTGTTACCAACAATAACAGCTGAATGAGAGCTTACCACAGTCTCAGGTGACGAGTTATTTAGCTAGCAAGTGGAGCATACCATCTGTTCCCTATGGCACACTGGATCCAATGCCAACTGTTACTTGGGAACTCAGAAAGTCTTCAGGGAAGATACAAATTTGGCCAAAGAAGAACTAGTCAAACACAGGAGTAAAAGCCATAAAGAAGATGGGATCATGTGCTGTGACAGTGTGTTCCCTCCTCCCCTTCTTTCTCCCAGCTCCCTTGCTGTCTTCCACACGAGGCTTTTGCAGAGAAAGGCAATGAGCATCAGTACTGGTAACACTCTCATTAAGACAGATTAATGACCACAAATCTGTCTCAAACAGAAAGAGCTGACACCTGGTTCAACAGCCAAAGCCCATTGAGAACGCTCCTAAAAACTACCTATGATTAAGTCAATTGTTTTACACCATGAACAGCAAGCAGCCCAAGAGCCCCTTCAGCTCTCCTGCATGGCAGTGAGCTGCGTAACAGGATCTACCTTTGAGCAGGAAGACCTCTCATAATCATGCCTGCACAGAGATCCCTTACATCTTGACATCAAGGCACCATGCCAATAAAGATCCTCAGTGACTGACTGTTTAAGCTTTGTTAGTTTTGCTAAGATTGTTGTGCACATGGATGGATTGTGCACATACGGTCCCTTAGACACGAACCATTGACCAACTTTGGGATTAGGAGCGGATCCAACCACACCTGGGCTCCTTACCTCTGCAGCTCAAGGAGTTTGGAAAGCAAGGAGGTTCACTCTGAACTTCGTGACTCAAGAGGAGGGGCTCCTCCATGTGCGTGTTTAACACTCCCCTCTATGTAGTAAATAGACAAGTGCATCCAGCCATCTCAGATCTTGCTAAGTTGCTGTTAAATCACTATATTATATTGTATCAATGAATATATTCCTGTCTTACGAGTGAAGTACATAGTGTAGATGTTCCCATTTGCAGCACCTACAAAAAAAGCAGAAATGGGTAAAGGCCATGCTTAACTTTTAGTGGAAGAGAAGCCCGGAGAACAGCTTTTGGTAATCTCGTAGTTCTTAGTCTCCAATTCAGGC